TGGCTTGGGCGAATATTGGGTACTTAACATACATGACATAAATTGGCGAATTAACTTCACAAAAGCCTGGTAACACTGCCTACTACTCGTATTGTCAAATTTTACAAATTTATTGTTGTCATTATTCCTGTGTGCAGGTGGATCGTGTCTGTAATTATGGATTTTATCAAATTATTTAATGTATTTTTCAGTAAATTACTTGCAGTGCTTTATGTAACGGTTTATTTGTTTCATGTAACTGAAGGTAAGCAGTGAATAATATATACGTGTTTATAGTATTAAGTTACATTCGTCACATTGCCTGGATAACATTACGTGGCCTTACGTTACAGGAGAATTACTATGATAAATGTCTGTTATTATGAATTGAAGCTTGAATATACCCACTGAAAAATCTGTTTATATTGAGTGCAGGTTCGAGGGCGGAGTACGTAACATGTGGCACGATTCTGAAGCTTATGAACACAGACCTGAGGCTGCGACTGCATTCGCATGATGTAAAGTACGGCTCCGGCTCTGGACAACAATCGGTCACCGCGGTAGATGTATCCGACGATTACAACAGCCACTGGCAAGTGCGAGCACCAATGGCCGAGACTTGCAGGAGAGGGTAATATAATTAGCCAACCTTATGGTATTTCTTATGTCTTCAGATATTTTGTTGTATGAATTTTCTTAGTTACAATTGAGGAGCTTCACAACAAGAACCAATAAATACAATAAATTTTAATTTTGATTACTCTCTTTGAATGGATTTGTAGCATTGAGTTTATGTCCGAGCATTTAAAACATATTTTGGAGAAGGATTGAGCAGTTGCTGTTCAGGCTGGATAAATTATTCATAGAAACATGCAAACATTTGGCATCAAAAAAGTAAAAGTCAAAATGTGATGCTCCTCGCATAATATGGTTTCAGGATTGTTTTACATGACTTTTATTACATATGAGATTAGCATAACTTGTGAAAATATTCGTCCTAAAAAATACGTTTTTTTATTTTTATATAAAAATGCGCATTTAACTTCTATGTCACCTGATGGAAAATGATGACATTGATAATGTAGCATGAGTTAGAAAAATAATAATACTAGAATTTGCTGTTAACTGTTGACATAACCATTGTTTGTTTATTCAAACAATACACATTGTTTAACAAATAAATCTTTCTCATATTTATGTTTTTATTTCAGAGTACCAATCAAGTGTAATACCAACATTCGGCTCCACCATGTGAGCACTAAGAAGAATTTGCATTCACATTACTTCCAATCACCTCTATCTGGGCATCAGGAGGTTTCATGCTATGGAGACGAGGATGGTGAAGGTGACACTGGAGACCACTGGACTGTTGTGTGCAACAATGACTTCTGGAGAAGAGACACTCCAGTGAAGTTCCGACATGTAGACACTGGAGCGTGAGTTGTTTTCTTTTGTATAGCATTTAACTTCCTGATGTATTCATTTTTAATGTATGTTGGCATTGTTGATTCCATCTACAAATACCTTTTTTAATTGTCCATATATATAACTATAAATAGTATATTTTAACCTATTTTTGAAGCTAGTATACCCACATTTTCTAGTGAGGTTTATTTTATGTTACAGGTATCTGGCAGGCTCGGGGCGTACATTTGGACGGCCTATTAGCGGTCAGGGTGAAATTGTGGGTATCAATTCACAGTATGGGTCTTACACTGACTGGCAAGCCAAGGAAGGGCTCTTTGTACATCCCAGCGATCCCCTACCGCATCAACATGCGATACATTCTGAACTATAATATGCTCAGTATCATTAGATATTTAACAAATTGTGTAAGTTACTAGTGACAGTAACTTTATAGTTGAATTTAATTTTATTTGTCCACCTATAGATTGAAATAAAATCGTCATGTATGGATGATTTTATAATCAATGTCAAATGTACCATAATAAAGGTCACAATATTAACATTATTAATCTTGGCGTGTTGACTCTGACGTTTATATTTGAGAGGACTTACATTATTAATGTTAGCTAAACTTAAAGTCAACAATTTTGTATTCAGATTCATTAAATGAAATACAACATAAAAACAAATGAAAACACTATTTTTCTTAAAACTTTATTGTCAAATCTGTTCATGTTACTTTACATGAGGAATGTAATCAAATTTCACCTGAGACTTTTGAATTACATTACAAGTGGAAGTGCTTCAACACCAACAAAATTGCATTAATACTGACACACTAACTTCTTTGTATTGATTATTATAAAATACATAAACATCTCAAATTGTTATGAAATATGTATCTTGCAAATTATATTTTTGTATTCCTACACAATTTTCTTCCAATGTACCCGAAATGCAGAAACAAAATGTTAAAAAATATGTAATTACAACTAAATGTTCCAAATAATGTGACTGTCGCACCGTATCCCTCAGTCATGGTGCGCTATTTGCTAAAGAATCAACCAAAAATTTGAACTTATTCAGAATTTGCTTAAAACCACAAGGTGTATACAATGACCGTATTGTCTACCTTGGTACTGTTATAGTCAACACACTGGCATCTAGCCAGTTTCATCCATCTATTCTACAAGATTTTGTACTAATGAGATTTTGTCACTGGTTTAAATAATTTAAGAACCAGCTATTTTGTTATTTAACAGACACAACTATGATGGAAGATAATAATCCAAGTATGGACTTGTATACCAACAATATACCAAAATTGATTTTAGCGACAATTGTTGTACAAAATTATAAACACAGCTAATAAACTAAGAGATTAAACAAAAGTTGTGGAAAATATATTTGAAATACTAACCCTATAAACACTTGAAACCTCAACCAGTATGAGTAAGCAGTCCTTTGCAGGGCACTATTGAAATTCATTTATTCAAAATATAAAGTGACGAGATATGTGTTCGCTAGCACAATTTATTGGATAATACACTGTTTAGTTTCTCTAAAGCATAAGCGAGGTTCGTATAAAGCTTCTTGTCGCATCCGTGTTCCTCAATCGTGGCGAAGCGGAATGTTCGAAAATTCTTTTCCACGTCGATGTACGTGACGGCTTGCATCAGTGGACAGAGTATTATTTTTGTATGGTCTTGAAAGTTTATCTGGAGATAAAATAAAAGTTGTGTTCTATATATTTACGACAACACCCCACAAAATTATTACATTTTATTCCTTACAAAGCGCGTGACTTACAAAGTAGACGGTTTGCACATTTTGTATATCCAGCAAACTATAAACATTTACCTGCAAAGTTCCATTTGTCAGGTACATAATGACTGCTAATGTGGTCCTAAACCATTGGTGCAAATGTGGCAATCGTGACAAGCCATCGCTCTCCCTAACGGGTACTGATGCACCTGAGGAACATAAAAGTAAATGAAATAAAATACAAGCCTTAACAAAGTTTAATTAAAGTGTCTTGCACAGTGCAAGTAGTAACTTTTTTAAAACATGATTATTTTTAACCATATCATTTGATGGTGAGGATGACGTGGCAGAGAAAGAATATTGCCTTATTATGCTTTCTCTTTATTGAATATTTAACTACATAATTGTTCACCTCTCTGGATGTTTCCCTTATGGTCACTTCAATTTGTCCCGCGTTGGAGATCTAATACTGATGTCATCAATTATGTCTGAATGTGTAATGATATAATACAAAGACACTTTCCTATTTGTTTTTTACGAGACTTGCAATATATATAATACATACCAGCTTTCATAAGGTGTTCTGTCATATATCTGCGGAAGTAGGTGAGAAGTTTCATCTTCTTCTCGAGTTCCGAGGGATACTCGCGCATGGTCATGTACTGCTCCTGGCCTTGTCTATTGATGTAGTGTACATTCCTGTCAACAAATCATTAGCACTTTCACTTCGTCCTTTAAAGCAGACAGGTAATATCAGAATACACGCTGCCTTTGGCCAGTTTTGGAGTACTTAATATCTCTCCCTATAATATCCGTGCTCAGTAGTCGAAAAGGTATGGACAGATACACCAGCGTCATCTATCAAGCGAAAGTTGCGATGTAGTTTCGCATGCAATATGGCGTGGTTGAAAACTTTAAGATTAAAAATCGTATACTTACACTCCATTAGCAAGCATGATAAGTTTAGTGGTGTCGTTGAACATGACTCCGACACTCTCGTCGCAGAGTTGATAGCCAAAGCCGTATTTGTCGCTGTAATCCACCCATTTGCCGACCCAGACCAGAGGCTGTGCGGCGGGATCACTGAGCTCATCTGTTAGGCACTCCGGACGACACATAAGCTGAAAAATGTAAACAAATGTACTAAACACTTGTTGACACATATCAATGATAATAGCCAACTAGTGAACCATTAAAATTATTGAATATCATGGTAGTAAAAACATCATGATGTTCAATAAAAGAAATATTGGAATGAAACATACTTTTACAATTTGTAAATACTTGGTAAGAGGTAAGAAACCGAAACATTGTAGAAGTCATATTTAATACCTTATTAGATAACAAGCTCGCGAGGTGGTTGCGAAGCGCGATGAGGTTTTGCCGGTGCGAATTAGGCTCTACGGAGCGCGGTTCTGCTGGCATCGGCTCGCGCTTCATCGGCGAGTCCACTGCCATCGCCGTATGATCTAGGGTCGGAATAACATTTTACAATTATTATAACTGTCAAGGTCACGTGGGATCTACACAACTGATTACGCGTACTTACCGTTACTGTTAACCTCATTGAGAGGGCGGCGGTGCAGTGCAATGCCTTCGAGCTGGTCAGTACGCGGGGCCGTGGTAAGACAGGAGAGCGGGAGTGCGGCCGGCATGATCCCCGCAGAGAAGAACTCGTGCTGCAGTAGCTTGTCAACCGAAGGCCGCCGCGCTGGATTCGACTGCAGCTGCAGTACGATCATCGACGCCGCAGGTTTTCGCAGCGACGATGGAATCCTGTATGATTAATAACTATTGAGTTTCATGTTTTGGAGATTATATTTTAGGTGCGAAGTGAAAATGTTACTGAGTGTATTAATTTTATATGATTATTTGCTTTCAGTGAACCATTATTAGATACACAAGGACAACAGCACTCGACATAAAGATGACTATACAAGTATTTTTAAGTGTATGGTTTTGGGCACAAGACATAAATGATTGACCGTCACCATAGGGCTTGTGCTGTTTATATCCACCTGAGCCGATGGTTGATGGTATTGTCGTCGACTACTGCCTGAGCGTACCGGACGCTCAATTTGTGCCAGGGGCCCGAGCAACATATGCGCATTGCGAGGTATACGCCGTCACTATTTGCACAAAATATTACTATAGTCACAATCCACATATTGAGAAAATTCTATTTTAAACCTTATTTTGTAATTTCACATTTAACACATAACAAAATTATAATAAAAAAAATTAAGAGCAATGTCATAAGTAGTTTTAAATTACTAAACTTTAAGAAAAAAATCAGAAGAAAAATAAAATGTATACCTGTATTCACATTGCTTGATTCTCTTGTAGGTGTCTTTGAGAGTGGAGGTCTCGAAGGGCGGCTTGCCCACAAGTAGTGTGTACATGATGCAACCTAGACTCCAGATGTCCACTTCGAACGAGTGCCCTTTCTTTGTCAGGATCTCCGGCGCGATGTAGTTTGGTGTGCCGCATAGAGTCTGCTTTCTCTCTCCTGAATACACATTAACATGAGTAGTATAAGTAAATAAATTGGTAAATTACTTATTACTAATTTTTCGGATCTAAATCCCATAACCATATCTATTTTTTCCAAAAAAACTACAACATTTAAAAAAAATCACTTCAAAAAAAACGCGCAACACGCAATTTAGATCCGAAAACTAGTTTCATTCCTATGTGTAATAATCGCGAAATCATAAGAACTCTATATATACTTGTAATTATTAAAAGGATGTAAAAAAGCCATCCAATATTATCTACAATAAAAGATAAAATTTTATTAATATTGGTACACTGTTTTTATTACCTTTACGAATTATGAATGTGATAGTTAATCTACTGCAGATTGATAGAAATTTTTTAACACCAATTAGTTTTTTCTGGAATTAGTTATTATCATCATGTTGATTTGTTTTACCTTCGTATTCAATTCTGGCTGCAAGGCCAAAGTCTCCGATCTTGACATGTAGATCATCATCAAGGAAAAGGTTGCCTAGCTTCAGGTCACGGTGGATGATTCGCTTGCTGTGCAGGTATTGCACACCCAGCAGTATCTGGTGCATGTAGAACCGAGTCTCTGGCTCTGTGATAGCTTTTCTGCGCTTGTGTAACTCCATCATAGACTTTGGAGTAAATAGAAAATTATGTAAGCCCTTGTGGAAGCATAATGTAGCCCCTTGACGTTACAGTTAATTCGTGACAAATTGGGGTAGACTTCTAGAAATATGCAATATATTGTTATTAACAATTCAGCAATGGATGTCATTTGGCTGATGATGATGATTTAATTTGTTATGTGTCTCCATAATGAGACTACGTGAATTTGTTGTTTGTTGTGGAGACAGATTCTTGGATTTTCCATTTGTATTGGTGATAAATGCTATAAATACGTAGTGAATTATATACTAATGATAAAATTTCTACACGTAATTTCAAATACCTTGGTTGATAAAAAGTACCTGCCAAAAATATAACATTTTAAGTGGTTTTCAATTTATATTTTTAATTATAATACATTCATTTGCTTGCTACGACGCTCGTACAAAGTCACTGTGCATGTTAACATGTTCATTGCCAAGCTGTAAATAGGAATTTTGTGTGGTGGCTGCTATACTATTTCGTGCAGAAACTCGATAGCGATGTCTACGCGATAACGCGTGATCGGCCATTTGATGACAACTCTTCAACTTTGGTAATAGGCAATCAATGTGTTAAACCAGATAACTAGTACGAGAAAGTGATGGGCAACCCTATCCAAGCCACACACACACACACACACTGTGTGTGTGTGTGCATGTGTGTGTGTGCATGAAATTATGAACTATGGATAATAAAAACACTAAAAATTGTAGTATATAAAGTTACTTCTAATTTTTATTTTGAGATTGACTTCAAATGTGTGCAAGATTCTGTTGTTGATATTAGTACTGGGTAGCACAGTAGCTGCTCGAAACTTCTATATTTAGTAATAACTCTTACCCGACGTTTGCAGAGTTCAAGTATAATGTAGATATTAAGTGAATCCTCGAAGAAGCTGTGGAAGCCAACCACATGTTTGTGTTGCAGAGAGCGGTGGATTGAGATCTCCTGTGCCATTTTCTCCTTCTGGCTGGACTTCACCATTAGCTTCTTGGATACTATTTTTCCTGCATACACTTGATTTGAGGCTATGTCCTGAATTTCGTAGCATTTTGCGAAACCACCCTGTAATATGTTTAATATATTTAATTTTTTATTTTAATAATGTTTTAACATGTTTTTGTTTTATGTAAATTGATAAGAACATTTCATGAAAGTTAACATCACATTTATGTTACAAGAAGGTCTCAAATTGATGCAGGTCGCATAAAAAAGGGATTTAGTTTACAACAATAGTTTACCTTATTTAAAAACTCAAAACTAATTTTATAATTTTTAGACTAATTACAATGAATTTACTAGTTACTATCGGCATATACTAATGACTAAATCAATTTACCAGACGGCGTTGGTGTTTTATTGTAACCGTTATTCAAGGTACTCATTTTGAACTCTTGCAGTTTATCCATAAAATTTCCACTGTGACCGCGGTTAATTGGGCTCATACATTAGTTACTATAATCAATTTTTAGTTATGTAAACGAGTGACTCAATCACTTACCTTCCCAAAAAACCTTAACCTCTGGTAGGTGCTGTTTGTTTGAGGATCACGTATGATTTCAGGGATTTCTTTCTTCTCGTCTTCTTTGATCGACGTCATTTTAAAACTAACTTATAAATGTAAACTAAAATCAAGTAAAATATTTAATAACTAACAATAAATTGCAGATGATTGTTGACAAAGGAGATTTCAAACGGTTAGACGTTTGAACTTTTGAAAGCAGTTGCACGAAATTTTGAACGGTTATTCGGTTCAGCCAATAGTGACGACGCATTTCCTACCATAAAACAAATGGTATATATAATCTGCGAAATAATTTTAACAGTGTGCTTTTTTGATGAAAATTATATATTTATTCGTGTTTTACATAAGTTTGTTCCCACAGTTATAAAAAATGAGTGTCTTTAATTTATATTAAGCACAACTACATTAAAATTGTCTGACAAAAAAAAAATCAGTAGTAATATTTGATACATTAAATTGGCAACACAAAAACCGTTATCTATTTGTCTCTTTCTAACAACATTCTCTATACACGAGGAAAAAAGAGGAAGAAAATTATTATTACGTTTGTTATTTTGTGTGTATTTGTAATTTGCAATACGTAGGCGGCAAAATTTAATATTATTTTAATTTGAGGAAAATCAATTCATCGTTTCTGATCATTGGCTTACCTGAAGGTAATTTTTTTCTATTATTATTGTATTTTTGTAAGGGTTAAATTAATAATAGAACATAGAACATATAATATACATGGACATCGTCACTTAGACTTTCTGATGCTGTGCACGGGTCTCCTCTTGGGAAATAATGTATTTATAACACAAACGGTGGTTACGGTGAATAAAATACACCACACTAACATAATGCGTATGTAGCAACTTTAGATAATAATCTTCTATAGGTACTTCGAATCTATTCCTGAAAACTTAAAAAAAATTTACCACTCGGTAAAAAAGTTCCTATGCATTTGCTACTCGTAGCATACTGTCTTAAGAGTACAAAAACAAAGTAAATTCTCGCTTGTATTTGACCTCAGACAAGACTCTATATGCGTAGCTACTGTCACACGCCTCCTTCTCCGGCGCAACAATTATGATTACAATCGCTAATTGGCGAAAATATGATATACAGTTCAACGAAATAATTGACATTTATTTAAGACGTTTCTATAGCTCAATAAGTTGCCTTTGAACGTGATTGATTTACGTAAGTAGGTACTTTGCCGAAGAGTGTGAAGGAATTATTTTACCATAGAATTTTTATGATTCCTGATAACAGCTATCTTGTTCGCTTCCTGTGGCAATCACTGAACAGCGAATTGCAAATAAATACTGAATTCAAATACTGACACACTATTATTTCTAGATCAATGTCATGCCTTGGGAAGGTCGTGGTTATTTGGCCCATTTTCATTAATAAATGTTAATATTATATTAAACAGCGGTGACTCAAAAGTCTTCATTATAAAACCCCGCGAATTATTAAAAGTGCCACTTTATAGTGTACTGTGGTCTGGTGCCGTTAGCAGAATTTAATTAGTATAAAATGCGGGCAATTCGCATATGTTTGTTGTACATTGTATTTCAAGTAATAGTTTTTCAAGAAGTACACGGTGCCAAGGGCCATCCCTGGATAAGAACAACTGATGAGCGTAAGTATATTATATTATGGTTATAATCATTTTATGTAGTTTACGATGTTATCTGTGAGTATTTTTGTTTCTACCTACTTATTAATAATTATTCAATTAGTTGGGTTGGTAAGCCCTAAATTACAGAAAATATTAGATTTCAGTTAGTTTTCGATAAAAACGAAATAACATACAAATACATTAATTGTCTGGCATATAAATTACAGTCAACATTGACTTTGTCGCAAGCAATATTTGTAAATAAAATATATATAATAGAAGCCTATCGCTGAAGGCTTGGCTTGTAGTTACTTAGTCGTGAGATGGCGTGTTGCAGCCACTCCGCGCCGCGGCAAACTGCTTAGCCTGAATACCTGAATGCATCGAAGACACGAAATGTACCCGAGGTCAAGAAAAATGTTGATCAGTTGTCTTGGTGACTACCTAAAAAAAACCACTTTTAAACACACGTAAAACTGTAGTTAAAGAAATAAACATGTTGTAATAAAGCATTTTTCTTGAACATTGAAAATGGAGCGCACTGTATCGTTCGTCGTCGATTGTATCTAGCAACCGCGTAAAATATGCCTATGTAGAGAAATTTAGTTCTTATTGTTGCCGTAGAACATTGTCAAACTTTTGATGCTATCAAAGTATCGTGGCGACTATCGACAGTATAAACTCATAATTGTGATACTAACTCACAGCCCTTGATGATATGTTCCTACATTATTTCACATAACTACAATGACTATGTTAAAATTACGTAGTAAAAAAAATTGTACTGGATATTTGTAATTTTTTGAAATGTAACATTTATTACTATTTGTAACGATTCTTGTAATACAATATATTGTATATAATAGTATAAAGTTTACAAGATAATAAAATAAATCTATAAATCTATAAATCGATGTTTCGATTAACCTTTCGCATATATACACAGTTTAGTTCCATCATCTTGATACATATATTATGTTTATTATAAAAATAAAAAGCCGTGGTAGCCTCACTGTTTGAACTACTGCCTCTCAAGCAGAGGCTCGTGGGTTCGAATCCGGACTCGCACCCAGAATTTATGTGTGAAATTTAATTTGAAATTTATCATGAGTTTTTCGGTGAAGGAAAATCATCGCGATGAAACCAGTGCGTTGAAGAAGGTTCACAACCCTCAGAAAACGGGGGACACACGTTTTCTGAGGGTTGTGAACCCATTGAACGCATTGGGTCAGCGTGGCGGACTATGGCCTAAACCCTCGCCTGAGAGGAGACCCGTACCTAGCAGTGGGACGTATAAATGGGTTGATGATGATAAAAATAAAGCAGCACATAGAATAACCATGATAAAGTAGCTTTGAAAATGTTATCGCCATGGATGAACGTTTTATTCAGATTTGTCTAGAGTTCGCTTTAAGTATAAGCACTCTTTTTAAATAGATTATCAAATTGGGTTAAGGTCGAGAGGGAGCATTTTGCAAGTTTTGTTTATTAGCTGTACGACTTGCTTAGCAACCAAGGACGGTATCAACATCATATTTTTACGTTGATACGAAAATAACACACAAAGAAAGTTGTCACGCGACTCGGAGGACAGTAAAGGTTAATTATGATAAATAAAATACGTCATAAAAATCTTGTTTAGGTATCTATAGGGCCGGAAATGGTTGTATTTATGCACTGCAGTGTATCGACACTAGTATCTGTGCAGCGGAAATATTTTAGCAGAAGGATGTATGTGGGTTCATGCAGTTTTTATGAATCTCATTTTTTTCTTACAGTGGAAAACCACATAAGCCCTGAAGATTTGCAAGAGTTTTTGAATACGCATTCTGGGACTACTACAAGTGGATATGCTACAACTTCCAATCTAGATTACGCTGATGCTTTTCAGGTTCCATTTATTTTCATTGAAATAACGTAAGCGTAAAAAAATTGCTAGCACGGAATCAATAAACACCAAACCATTAGAACATAATAAAAGACAAAGTACAACTGTGATTTCTTCGATTTAACGATCAAGTTAACAATACGTTAATATTTCAATGTCAGTTATGTTTTATTTAGGAAACCACCACACGAAGTTCAGTTCCAGAAGTGGTGGATTGCTTTGGCTTGGGCTCTTTGACTAATAGTCTACCATGGCTTTTCAATATGAAACCCGATACCGCCGAGAAAGTGAACACACATTTTTACATGTCTTCGCGAGATAAAAACTACAGAGTACAGGTAATCCCGCCCACATATATGTATATCTACATAATTTCATCATGGTTTTAAGTCTGTACTTAACAAATTACAAGTTATTCTAGGTGTATCCAGGTAAACAATTCGGTCTCGAATGGGTAGACTTTAAAGCCTCCAGGAAAACGATAATGATTGTACATGGTTTCATGAGCCATAGCAACGCCTCTTGGGTCACGGACATGGCTAGAGCTTTATTGGACTGGGTACGTACTAATGACTGGCAAAATTTACCTCATAAATGACGGTCGATTGCAACAAGTTTAACCATTATGACGTATTTAATTTTAATTTTAGGGAGACGTAAATGTCATCGCGGTAGATTGGAGTGGAGGAGGAAATACTTGGAAATACTGGAGGGCAGTCGCAAACACTCGACAAGTGGGCTCTGACATCATTGGGTAAAACCGAAAGACTGCTTTAGCTACAGGATAAAATACTATAACAAGTAGTGAATGTAATTTTTAAATACAAAGTTCGAAAACCATGAAAAAATCCTTCGCCCTACGACCACGGGATTCCGTCCCCATTGCTCTTCCAAATAAGCTACAGGTCGAGTTACCAAGTTGACGAAATTCTTTTATATGTCTATCAATCTTTGCATTGATTTTTTCGGCTTTGGTAACTCGACCTGTATGTAGCTTAGTTGGAAGAGTGGTCGCAGGTTCGAGTCCTGTGGGGTAAAAGAAATTTTTCTTTGTGTTCCACCTTTGTATTTAATAATTATACCAAACGAATGGAGTTATTTCACAAAATAAAAACAACTTAATGATACAAGTATTGAATATTAATGACTTCGGTGTTTTTAGGTTTCTGCGGCAGTTAATGAACGCCACGGGTGCAAAGGTCAAAGATTTCCACTTTATCGGTCATAGTTTGGGCGCTCACATTGTCTCCTATGTTTCTTTTCACTTGGGCGGTGTCGGAAGAATTACAGGTACCTAAAATTGTTACAGTCAGACAAAACTCTAGCAATGGACAAATTCGCGATTGCTGATTGAAAATAAACTTACATAAAGTAATACAAAAAGATCTTATTCTAATTTGACGACCTCAGTGGTCGAGTGGCTTGCACACCGATTTTCACGGTGTCACCATCTCTGATGTTCCCGATTCGATCCTCGCCCGGGTTAATGTAGACACAAAGTTTTCAATATTGTCTCGGATCTGGGTATTCGTGGTACCTTTTTTTTATTTATTTTTTTTATTATTATTTTATAGTATTCGTGGTACCTACCTATCGTCATTGTTTCTGATTTCAATACCACAATTGGTTTAGTTACTTTGGGATCGGAGCAATTTAAGTGATGTGTCTAAATTTTATTTATTTAATTGTATACTAACATAATACATTATGTCACTCAGACTAAACACGCCTTTCCGAACACATAGATAAGAAATTATTCAACTTAAATTCAATGGTCTGAATCATCTCTACAAAACAAAATATCAGCACCAAATGTAGTTTAGCAGGCCACATAATTAAATAAAAACGTGAATGACAAAACAGTAGCAATAGATATAGAGTTCTTAAGTTTTCGCGATTGGTGCACATTGGAAGGTTTTAAAAAAAATAGTTTCATTTCCAACGAGTCGCAAAAGAGCTTCTTGTGAAAGAGTTCATTCAAAGAAGTACTGATAGCACACCTATATCAGCCGCCAATCAGTATAATGTACGCATTACTACGGTTTTGAAGGTTAAAGGTGCTAGCGAAACTACAAGCACATAGGACTTGTGACAGTGACGTGCGCACAGGCAGTGCACCCCAGATCTTAGCGATTTGAATGACCCTGCAACGTGTCGCTTACCACTAGGCGCACGCGACTTGTTCGTCCCATCATTAAAAAAACATTTGAAAGATCATTCTCGGACTAGTAGTGTTCACTACCTAATTTCCATAGCAATTTTTATTATCTAGTTTCATTTCATGATAATACTCAGTGTAAATATTTGATAGCATGTATTTAAGTGATGAAAAGCAGCAGGCAAAAAAATCTAAACGGTCATCTATTTTAATGATTGATCTTTTCTCTGAGACATAAAATAAATTAAATCAATGGATATTATAATCTGTTCGGAGCTATGCAAAAAATGTTTGATTTATATATATTAATTTGTTATAATTTGTTAATACAAAGATCGAACAATCAGAAAAGTTCCTACCATGAATGCAGTTTATTTATAATTTATCCGTAAGTTACCTATTATAGAGGGAACAATTAATACATCGTTTATTTTAAAAAGTGCACATTTACAATAATAATTGATCTATTCTTTGTGGATCAAACAATATTATCCCACATTTTATTCGACTTTATCTTAAAGGGTTGGACCCAGCGCAGCCGTGCTTCCGCACGTCAAATCTAGTTGAACGCTTGGATGCAAATGATGCAGATTTCGTCGATGTTATCCATACTAACGGCCGTTTATTGACTAAGATTGGATTTGGACTACCTGATCCCATTGGTACGCTTCTTTTTACACGTATACATATATACGTATGTTCTTATTATTTTCTCCTACAAGGTTATTATAAAAAAGCCGTGACAGCCTCTGAGACTCCCTACATTAGCGTCTGTCGAGCGTCAGCGCCTTGCCAACGCACACACAACGTCTCTAATGGTTTGACCTACACCTCTCAAGCAGAAGCCGTGTGTGGGTTTGAATCCGGGGTTGCCTCTGAGTTTTTTAGAATTTAATTGTGAAAATTTATTTGATTTCGAAATTTACATTGAGCTTTTCGGTGAGGAAACCTGCACGTCGAAGAAGGTTCACAATTCTTGGACAACGTGTGAAGTCCCAAACCAGCATTGGGCCAGCGTGGCGGACAATGGCCTAAACCCTCGCTTCAGAGGAGACCTATGACTAGCAGTGGGACTTATAAATGGGTTGATGATGACGTTGTGACCGATCTTTCACGTTTCATTTAATCTAATTTACTATAACGTTCTGAAATGTAATGGGGTATGTGTATTACAAGGTAATAAATTACATATATTTGTCATCTGCTATTGCAGGTACCGCAGATTTCTATCCTAACGGTGGTATGAAGCAACCAGGTTGTGTTAATAGCTCCAATTCGATTTGGGCTCAAGTGTTGCCCTCTTCTGTTTCAGGTAAGTTATTCTCAAGTTCGCCTCTTTTTTAACCTACTTAAAAAAAGGAGGAGGTTCTCAATTCGACTTTTTATGTTACGCGATTACTCCGTCATTTGTGAACCGATTTCGATGATTCTTTTTTTGTTGAGAAATGTGAGTGTTCCCATTCAATAAAAATATTCCTCGTCTAAGGGTGGCAAATCAGAGGAAGAATGCGATTTATTATTTTTCACTTGCTTTCCGTTAACCGATTTCTATAAAACTTGGCAAATACAGACATCAAAAGTGTTTAGCGATTTTAAGATTATTTATTACCCTATTAAAATTAAATAAAATATAAATATATCAGATATTTTTGTGAGATAGACCGAAAAACCATTGCTGTTAAAAATCATGATTATCATTGATGTCAGGTTTTTAACCTGACTTTTAGCAATTGGCAAAAACGTGCTGATCAATATACATTTTTAATGAGTGTAGATGTAAACCACAAACGTTTGAGATCGGTTTTTTAATGAAAAGTTGTCATTATTAATGATTCATATTGAATTGATAAATAACGTTTTGTTTAATAGGGCTGCAGCAGGCTATTTGTAGCCATGGCCGCGCGTATCTACTGTTCACCGAGTCACTGATTACGAGAAGTAATTGCACATTCAGGGCCCATCGGTGGAATTTAACTTATGAAGGGTGAGGTTCTGATTGCTAACAATTATTGCGTTATTGTACCGAATAAATAGTGTACTATGTCTACGTGACATTCACGCGTGTGTGGCTAGTATCATAGATTTGTATTTGTGTACCACCCACGCTGCAACTGATTTCGACAAATCATCGCTTAGCAAATAACACCGAACAGGTAAAAAATTTGCGGTTTTTACTTTTGAACGTTACTCAAGTCAAAATATAAGGGGAATATCATAAAAAATAGATTTAATTTTTTTTATCAGTAAAAACGATAAAAAAAAGAAGACGTCGGTTCGAATCCGGCCGGATCGAAGGAGTTCTTTGTATTTATAATTATAAGAAACTAGTGGAGTAATTTCACAAAAAAATAATAGAATATCATAGTGGTGAAACATCCTGACATTCAACAAAACACTTAAAAAATATTTGACAGAATGATCGCAACAATTTTATGACTACCGCGGTCTCACCACTAGGCAAGCCTGTATCGTGAAGTCCCGTGCAACCGATTTACATATAATATTTAGCCTCCTTAGATATTAAAAAAAAAGAAAAAAGTGCACATTTGATCTCCATCTCACCTGGTGGAAAGTGACGATGTAGTCGACGATGGAGCATGCACACCTAAATATTCACTCTCGGCTTGAAAAGACCCAAGATAACCCAATTCAGGGAACAAGTTTGCAGCAGGGTTGTCGCTAATATCAGTACACACGCTGGAATTTACAAACCTTCCAAAAACAGACTGCCGAAAAAGCAGCCACAGAAATCTAAATAAATATTTATTTGGATTTCTGTGAGCTCAGCTGTTTTTTTTTGGAATGCAACTTTGATAAAACTCGACCACGATTAAGCTAGCTAGGCAGATTGATTGTTTTCATGTAGATTGATTATTTTCATTGGGATAATATTTCAATACAATACCAAAAAAATAGAAAGCTTTTTCATGTAGATAGATTCAGTGACGATGTATATTTTTCGCGTTTTTTAAATACATAAAATCAGCATCCGCTGATGTAAAGGCCAAGAAATCAGCACATGTGTAAAAAACCTGCATCAGCAATAACCCTAGTTTGTAGCCAGCGAATTCCACTCCATAGCCGTTCGCCATATAAATGTGGAAGCGTAACGTTTCATGTGAATCCTTGGAATATCCACAACACAGAGACCTAACCCCAGCCTACGTCTGCTCCCCCGATGATAGGGGTGATGATTAGATAAAATCAAGTCATCAACAATTATTTCTTTTTTAAATAAAAGTCTGCAGGCAGGGAATTTGTTATCTATACATTATATAGCACTTATTACTAATAATAGGTAAACAAAATTATACACACATATTTTTTCACTTTCATTTCAAATTAGTCGAAAAGTCTTGAGCGGTGTTGTTTGCTAAGTGAAGACATACGTTTCACAAATGTCGTAGGCTATTTGGGCTATGGCCTATGACATCAACAGAAAATAAATATGGCGGGCGCTAGATGCTTTACCGTAGAACTGTACCGACATCAATGATATCATGTTTACAGAGTTCACATCATTTCCCTTGAAATTCTATTTTAGAATGGACAAAATAATATTGTACGGGTATGTAATTTACTACAAACATATTTTGTTTATTTTTTCATAGCAAGAGGAAGGCTATTATCGGTGCCTACCCCGACGGGAAAAGGGCTTGGAGTATGTTATGTTGGAATGTTGCTTCTTACCATATTATTATAGTCATAATAATGACTATGACTACCATATCGCACTTGTAATGTAACAGTGTAATAACTCAAAAAGTGTATTTCTCAGATGTGTGATGTGGATTCTCAGAATCGCCGAAAAACGAATTACTCGCTTCTCTTGAAAGATCTGTGTAAATTTATGTATAGGTTATTTTCTACTTGCCAAATATACATATTTAAAAATAAAAGAATAAATAATGTCATATTTTTGAATAAGGACTATTTTGACCAGAACTAGCTCACATGTGTGTCTTATTTTGCGTTAAGTATATATCTTTTAGTTGTTTTTTACAATATTCTAACGACGGTTTTATTGACGTGTAGATAATCAAATTATACGTTCAACAATGGTACAATCTTGAATTTCATGTATTTTGAGTTATAACACTATGTAATAGCAGTGCGATATTATTATTATACAAAAGCCATCAACTTTTGTTCTTTTATAATACCAAGTAACGGGACGAACACGTCTTACGCCTGGTGATTCCTGGCCACACGCCTGTCCATAACACTTGCAGTGCCACTCAGAGACTTAAATCGCAAAGAGGGACACTGCCACTGCGCCCGTCACCCTGAGACATAAGTTGACAAGTCCCATGTGTCTGTAATTTTATCAGCACCCTTACCTTTCAAACCGGAACGCAGTATTACTCACATTACTGCTAGGCGGCAGAAATAGGTAAGGTGACAGTACTTTCCTGGACGAACTCTTTCACAAGGAGTTTTATTGCTACTAAAATATTGCTACTAAATAGATATCGTATTTATTATAATTGTCTGTCTAACACAGGGTAAATACTAGTCTGGAGGCGGCATGCGATAGGCAAGGATCCTGTGCAGAGATGGGCGTCAGAGCAGTAGGAGGCAATGGTTTGCCAAAAGCAAGCGGACCCTATTTCGCGCTCACCACTGAAAAGCAACCTTATTGTCGTAAGTTACCTTAATACCTACTTATTACCTTTTTGTCAATGAAGTGCAGGGTTAAGAGCATGTCAAGCTTGATTATGCCCTCCAGTATATCACAGGACTATACCTCGAGGCATTAAGTACTACGTGATTAGCTCAACTACATACAATCGTTTGGACATACTGCTGACATTACATCCTCTAAATAAACATCATGTTAAAAACAAATTACAAACATGCCTTCAAACCCTTAACTATGCGGAAACGGAAAAATTATTGACTAAGTCGTAATTTTACCACTTAATTTTATAACTGCACTGTGCTATTCTTCGTATTTCTTTTACTGAACCTTGACACATACACACACTCATACAAACAGATACTCTATCACATTCCCCCCTCCACACACACCCTCGTTCTAAAGACACATTGCTTGTTTTAAATTTTACAAAATTTTAAGTTAAGTTATTTGTTACAGCAACAGAATTCGAGAGACATCACCCGCGGGCAGACCTACTTCACGATCTCCGCGAAGGTTTCAGGCTAGACCGGCACCACAGGACGACCACCAAGTTACCAGGCCATGCTGACTCAATGTTTATGGAGTCTACTACAAAGAAATATGTTACGACCACGACGAAGAGTAGCTGGTTCGATTGGTGGTTCGGATAAAACTGTACAAGCAAGTAAAGCAATAGCTACACGCTGATCAATTTATTGTATCATCGTCGCTTTATTCACAAAGATAATTGTGATCTATGATTGAGTAAACGTAGTTCTAACTATGGTTACTCAATCATAGACTTGTCTTTGTAATTTTAGGTAAGTGTGTATTTAAAATTGATGTGTCTCCGGCGCAGGAGAAAGCTACAGTATCTAGAGTTTAAGAAATATCATGACAATAATTGTTACGTTTATCTCTGAGAATGTGTTTAAAGTTATTTTTGTACAACCTAACCTCCAAGGTTGGGTTGTATCTCTCCTTGGAGGTTAGGTTGTACAAAAATAACATCAGTTTTGAGCTAGACCTGTGTCCGTCGATCATTTTTGATAACCTGGGTCGATCATGACCCATGCGTAGTGTGATCGGGTCAAATGATTCGACCATACATTCGATATTTTAGCGGGTCACCCGTCTCTTATGATACTTCAACATGACGTTTAAAAGTGTAAAATTATACAATTAGCGTTTATTCTTTCCTGCTGATGGGTAATGTGTCTATAGTTAAATGCATCATTGATAAACCACACTTAGGACACTAAAATTTCTTTCTAGGAAAACGGTGTTACAAAACAAATATACAGAACAAAAAACTTATGAGCGTTCAAAATTACTAATTTATTATTCATTCATACTTTAACATTAGCTAGTGCACTCTTAAATAAACACAACATACCGAAAAACAGATTAAACGTACAAAATTACCCTGTTACGGAAACTACGCCACCGAGCAATTAGGATAAACGAATGATTGATAGACTCATTGATCCGTTAACCTGTTGACCCGTTGACTCCTTGATCGATTGCTTTTGACTTTTTGGTTCGATCGAATGAAAGTTCTGTCAAACAAATGTTCGACCTAAACGAAGAATGAGAAGACGAACCGTGTCGTGACTGGGGGCTTCACGTGAGAGTGAACGAGACAATACTAATATAGTGAATTGTTGAATAATGTCTAAAATTATAGAGATAAAGTCCAATATTGCGCGCACGACACTTGAAACTCTAAAATGATCGGGTTATTTAGATGTTAGTAACCGGGTTATCGTGTCACAGGTGCAGTTCGAATCATTTTGATTCGATCGAACTCGATCGTCACACATCTATTTTGAGCAATGATAATATGATAATAATCGTAATGTATTGATGCAATAATGTACAAGTGCTTCCATTTTATCAATGTGCCTCGGCAATCATCGGATTTTCGAATGCACACGAATATTAATTTCCATGCCCAAAAATTATTAGATTAAAAATCTATAATAAATCGAATTTTGAACAACGTACTTTATTGTTTTGTTTTGGTTTCCGTGTGAACTATATAGAGCTGTAAAACTTTTTACCTGTTTTTTATAACATTTACTCCATGTCAATAACCAAGTGAACAAAAATATAAAGTAAATAAAGAGTGCTTATTTCATATAACTAAAAATGAATATTTTTCCGGTTATTAATCATTTCAATTCAGTCCGTGTCTGAACGCATTCCTTCATCTGACATAGCTATGTTAGTATGTTCGCCATCGATGGAATAATCACTTTCAGCGCTGCTCGAACAGGTATTCTTGATTTCAGGCTTCTTGTAAAAAATACAAGTATACGCTGTAAATTATCTGTCGTGCCTGTGACTTTAATGGCTTTCCTCCCATAATAAATAAAAAATGTAATGGCAACTTTATATACTTCAGAGTCGACTGAAAGCGTTCGGTCTGTACCAAAGGTTAAGTGCAACTGAATAAAACCCGACGACAGCCGAAACACGAAGGTTGCCGAGGGACATTGAGAAAATAGAAGCACTGTAGACTTGTACGTAATTGGTTAAAGCAATTTATATCCTTAGCCCGCAATACATGTTTGCCGAGCCTAGGCTAGTGAAGGCGAGCGCTTAAGCTATATTCATATATAGGGTTCATTTCGCGTTGCTTGTCACGTCTCGCCGTCGCTCCTGACCACTCGTCTCACTTAGAAACGGTGTTGGTTTTTCTGCACAAATCAATGGCGCGCGCCAACGCTCTGCCAATGGTGTATACACGTTGTCCGCCCGCCATTAATCGGTTGGCATCTGTCGCGATAATACTTGCAAAATATCGCTCAGTAAACATCAAGATATTTTCAAGTTTTTGGAGTTCTATCAGAATGAACCTATTATTTGGAACCCCAAAGACTTTCTTCTATGTTCATCTTACCTTGTGCTATTTTTGTGAATACTCAGCATCCACCACCTTGTTTTTTCTTTTCTTTTTTACAACTTTATTGCGGTATACACTAACAGGCGCTATTAAATAAACAGCAACAGCTGCAATAACTTCTGCGTCGGCGTCGTCCATATTGTTTCAATGGACAGTCCCATATCTTTCTACAGAAGTTTTGTTTATAGTGCCCCTACCCCTATCCCTATCAACCTCTTGGTTATGTGGGAAGGGCACTATGACCTGTGCAAGCAAACTTGCACAGGAACCATGTAAGTCAGGTCGTAACCCCAGGTTAGCACGTTTTCACGCACTTCATCCGGTTCTCTGCAAAGCTAGTGTCTTAGGTGAGCCGCCCCGGGTGCACGTACAGCACCCTATCTATTTTCCAGATAGGTACCGGAGCTGTAGGCACGCTCACTTCCTGTCGCGCTCCGGGCTAGTGCAGGAGATGCCAAGTGGCAGGGTCCTGCAACGATATCCGGACATAGCCACCGACTTAAAAGGCAACTCACGTGTCCCGCGCGTCTCTTCGCCTAAGACCCTCAACTAGACCGCTACTAAGACGCGCTAGCTGCGCGCGGGACGAACGCCCCGGTCACCATCTACAGGTGCAGACGAACGTGTTCGTCCCTGCAGCTAACCACAAACCCCGGCGAGTCCATACCCAAGTCCGGGTCAGAGACGCCCTTGAAGACGTATTACTGGCCCGGACGACCGCCGTATCCTGGCCTTGCCGTCGAGCCCGTAGTCTCTCGTATCTCTCGGGTCGGTAGATAGGGACAATGGACAATGGAAACTGACAGCGGCCAACGTGTGGGCAGCTCCACAAAACTCGTCTAATCAATTTGTCTACGCTTACGTTGAACTAGGCTCGGCCAACATGCAGTGCGTGCTTTAGATTTCCATATAGATTTATGTTCCAGTTTCGTAAGGTAAATTTATTCATAAATGCATTTTAGATGATTAAGTATCTGTATTATAAAGTCATATAATATACATATACTTTGATTATTTGTTCTATTAAAAAATAAATATTTTAAAGTGTGTTTAATTTTAAATGAACCAGTGTCGTGCACGAAGCATATTGTAAATAATTACATTTTAAGTACATTAGGTCTATTACCTACTCGATAAAAGCTTTTAGTAGTGATTAATTTTTTGTACCTATTCTCTTTTCACTAAATAAACAATCGTCATATGATTTATTTCACGTTAAGTAGACGGAATGATTCGTTCACCACAGCACCGGAGAAATCAATTTGAAATTTCTTTTAAAAGAAGATTTTTATTCTTTGGACGACACAGTGGCATACATGGTCTTGGCCATTTGTTTAGAGAAGACGCTCCTTTTTTCGCAAGGTAACTATCAGTTCCGTGAAAATATTTGTAATACCTTTAATATGTCTAGAACTTATCGATACGTTTGATACAATTTCTCACTATTTCCAATGAATTTCGACTACACCACTTCACTAAACTAATGAATTTCACATGAACAAAACTCAATGTGACTTCAGGCCACTAGCGACGTAGTAGACGTACTAACGTAAACAGTAAACTTGCGAAGAATCTTAAAAATTAGCACGTGAGTCAATTAATCGTGTGACATATAAGTACATACATAGAAGTGTGCTTTGCATAGTACGTATGTGCGAACGATGTTCATTTGTTTTGCTTATCTCAACGTGCTCTACAGATTATGCTGAACAATTAGGTTTGATTCTATTTAATAAAGGATTTTACCTTGAAAAATGTGTTAATTTTAAGTTTGCATAATTATACGCATGTTTATTTCTGTCATTATCATTTATTTAGATCTGTGAAAAATGATTAGGCGTAAATAAGGCACGATTATGAAACGTATAATAAGATTCGACGTTAAGTACAGATAGGCAGATACGTACTTAACATAATTGAAAATGATTTTTGAAAAAAAAAAAAAAACCATAAAACAAATCTTGAGAATAATTCTAACTTCAATATAAAGAGTAAATGATCTTTTCGCTATAATACGAAAGAGACATTGGTCTTTTTTTACGAGAGTAAACAATTCGGCCAATATTATTGTAAGGACAGTATGCGATACGTGCTACTTTGTAAGCGAACACTCCATTTTAAAAATATAAATAACTTAATTATAATTATACTATTATTTGTAATGTAAATTCAATTATTTACTTTAGTTCTTAATTATTTACGTCATTAATAATAATAATTTTCCGTTAATAAAATTCTATTTAATTGTGATGTTATTAATGGGTAACCTAAATAAAGAAACATTTTATTTTTATTTAAACAAACAGGTGCTCAATCAGTGAAGAGGTACGAATTTGATTTATAATTGGACGTAGTTAAGCAAAAAGGATCTATCCACAAAATTATCAAAAAATGACTGATGGTATCAAACGGTTCCTAAAGTCTTACCTCTTAGATCAGCAAAAAATCCAACATATAAACATAAATAAATATCTCTGAAGTTACATGACATTATAAGTTTCGAAATAAATAAAAAGAAACACTTTTAACTTCAAACTGCCCCGAAAGTGACTGGATGTGCATTGGATCTTTTTTGTTTAACTACGTCCAATTTCTTTCCAGATTATTCTGGCTAATAGTCCTTCTAGCATGCAGTGGTTGTTTGTACCTCCTACTTGTACCTGTGGCGGAGCAAGGAGCTGAAGTGAACTACACTCCCGATACTTTGTACATAACCTGGACAACTACGTTTCCTGCTGTCACTGTGTGCGAGGCATATAATTCAAGATCCGTGCAGAAAAAGTTGGCAGAAACTTATCGTATGATTTTTAAATTTCAAATCGATAGTAATTCTTTGTTTCCAAATAAAGTCTCTGACTTGAAATATTATACGACGCAGGGTTATTTGTAAAATACCAATAATCTCCAAGGTTTACATTTATTAACATCATAAACAACAACTTTAGTTCCATGATTTTTTACAAAACATAATTAATTTACCAAAAATAATCTTTTAAGTTCTTGTAGTATTTAAAAAA